TTGCTGGTCTCCTCCCAAGGCGCAAAGCCTGGGAAATAGGGAGGTTTGAACCTGGAGCCTGCGTGGAGGAGACCTTGGAGTGGGAGCAAACCTGCCATGAATAAATCACAGGTCCCCCCCCCAAAAAAAAATAAAACGGGAGCACCTGGCACGGGCAGTGTCTCAAAGACGAAGGGGGGATTCTGGATGCAGTGGGGGGGCAAGGGCAGGGGCACGGCCCTGGAGCGTGCGGGGTTCTGGATGAAGTCAGCGGAGGGGGGGTCAGGGGCTCAGCCCTGGAGCGTGGAAAGCACTTCCCCGCGATCCTCACCTGTTCACCTTCTCCCTCCCGCGCCCTCTGCCCGCACCTGCCTTTTCCCAGGGGGTTTCTCTGGACGTGGGGCAGGTGGGGGGGTGAGGTCCATGGGAGGCTGGTTGGCCCCGCCTGCTCACCCCGCCCTCTACAGCAGACCGGGACCGCAGGGGACGGGACGGCTCCCAACCCCTGCACCTGCAGCCCAAGCCTCAGCGTGCGGCTCCACCCTGCAGCGGGCCGGGGCAGCCTGGCCCAGCCTGCCCGGGGCCCTCAGGCCGGCGCCCGGGCTCTGGCTCCGTGTCTTCACTCCCGTGTCTAGAGGAGGGAGGGAGGGCCGGGGGCTGTGCTGGGGCGGCTGGAACAGCGCGGGTCACCCGGCTGGCTGGGCCAGGAGCAGACGCTGGGGGGCCACAGAGAGAGCCTGCTTGCTGGCTGGCCCAGGGGCTGAGGAGCCCGCACCCGGGGAAGGGGGGACAGTGTCCTGGGGAGAGCCCGCGCCTGGGGGGCAGCATCCCAAGGAAAGCCCACGCCTGGGGGGGCAGCGTCCGGGGAGAGCCCACACCTGGGGGGGCAGCGTCCGGGGAGAGCCCACACCTGGGGGACAGCGTCCGGGGAGAGCCCACACCTGGGGGGACAGCGTCCGGGGAGAGCCCACACCTGGGGGGACAGCGTCCCAGGGAGAGCCGGCGCCTGGGGGGGCAGCGTCCCAGGGAAAGCCCACACCTGGGGGACAGCGTCCCGGAGAGAGCCGGCGCCTGGGGGGGCAGCGTCCCGGGGAGAGCCCCGCGGGGGGGCAGCGTCCCGGGGAGAGCCCTGCGGGGGAGGGGCAGTGCCCTGCGTTTCTTGGGGGCCCATGGCCTTGGTCCCCTTGCGTCGCAGCTTCTTAGCTGCGTAGTCTCTGGTGGGGGTCAGGCGGGAGGGGCACGGTAAAGGAGCAGAGCCATGCGCCCCGCCGCGGTCCCTACCTTGCTTTCTCTGGTCTTTGTGGCCACGGTGAAGGGCCACACTGCGGTGCTGGGGCACTCTGCTTGGGAGTGGGCGGGGGGTGGGGTCCCAAAGGAAAGGGCGGCCCCCGGGGCCAGCGGACACCCCTTCTCTCCCCGCATCACAGCCCTCAGCTGGCACAGCAGCGCCTCCCCGGCGGGAAGAGGAAGGGGGAGCAGGCGCTCTGGGGGTGCTGCGTGCCTCCCCAAGGCACCCCACACGGTAGCTCCATTCCTCCTGACCCCCACTGGACCAGATGGCACCCCCCCCCGCCCTGCCCCCGCGGGCCCTGACCATGCGGCCTCCAGAGGGCGCTGGACCGTGACACTGGCGCCTGGGGTCCGCGGGCTCAGAACAGCTCCAGATGAGAAGGCCAGCGGCTGTGCCCGTGCCCTCCCTCCTCTCCCTCCCCCGGCTGTGCCCGTGCCCTCCCTCCTCTCCCTCTCCCGGCTGTGCCCGTGCCCTCCCTCCTCTTTCTCCCCCGGCTCCCCCCATCCTGCCCATGAGGTCTCTGCCCGCCACCCGCCTCCAACCCAACACATGCCCCACCCCTGCCCTGCAGCCGAGTCCATTGGGAGGGCAGGGCAGGGACTTGGACCCTCCTTGAGCCCCCCACACCGCTCTTTCTGGGGTACTGACGCTCCACACCGCTCTTTCTGGGGTGCTGATGCCCCCACACACACACCGCTCTTTCTGGAGTGCTGACATGCCCCCACACACACACCGCTCTTTCTGGAGTGCTGATGTGCCCCCCCACACACACCGCTCTTTCTGGGGGGCTGACATGCTCCACACACACAC